GTTGCTTCATGTAAAATGATGTTTTAGTATCTCCTAACACTGCATGTCCTGAATTTACTGGAACTCATTTTACCGCTAAGCCTTCTGGCTAGGTATAAATAGATCTAAGAAATGCAATTTCCATTTTATAAAGGAAGAAGAACAAGCTTCCTTGTCAGAAGTACAGGTGTACAGAAATAAAGAATTCAAAATTTTTAAAAGATAACCTGTACATAAATTTACCAAAGGACTGCATATGAAGTTAGGATGGGAGGTGTTATTGCCATGGGTTGTATCGTGAAAGGCAGTGGAATTTCTGACAAAAATATTTTAAATATTTAATATTGATTTTTTAAAATTGATTGCTTCTTTATGTATGAAAGAGCAAAGAAAAGAATAAATGATTCAAATTGTACAGGCAGGAGATATTAAGAATAAAGATACTGCCTTTTGCTTCCAAAGCCTGTTTTTTTTCATGTTTGATACCACCCACTATTAGAAGTTAATATTGGTGTCTTGAATTGGAGGACAAAAAAAGAAAGTGTAGCAGGATCAGGTCTGGTGAAAAACAGGTCAGCTCTGTAAGGTGACATCTTGACTAAGAGGGCATGTAGCACAGCTAGTAGGAATACCAAATTTACCTCTATTTCACTTTGCTTTGGAATTGATAATATTTTTTTCCACGTGAGGAAAACCAGGGATTTGCATTATTTAGACTAAAATGCCAGAGAAGAAAGCCATACTGAGGAAGAGGAGAGCATTTAATTCAGCTTTTGTGTCTGGTGGGAACATTTTTTCAAAATGTAGGTGCTATTTCCTGTAATCAAGGGCTTTCCAGAGCCTGATAATCATTTCCCAGATGTATCATTTTGGTGAATTATTTTTTAGCCTTAGGTTATTTCATGACTGATTTTGCATATTAAGAATGGGAGAGGATCATATTCATCTTGATGATAGAAAACAGGGAATAGAACTCCCACAGCTCCCTCTCCCCTTCCCTCCATCTTGTGGAAAGTTTGGCTTTATGCTAAAGTGTGAAAAAAGCCTTGACTGCAATATGTCAGGCATATTTCAGTTCGATTTGTGTCAACCCTAATAAGTCAGCTGACAAGGTAATAAATTGGGTGTCTGTTCAAAACCTGGCACCTGTACAGGAAATAAAAGGGGATTTCAGTTGCAGAAGGCTTGCTTTGCTTTGCAAATGGACATTTTCTTAAGGCTCTTCTACCTCCTTCCCCTTTCTCTTCTTTACTGAATTCATATTATCAAAATGTTTATTTCAATTGTGACTGGAGCCAATTTTTCATGTGAAAAAGAAAGCTCTATGAGGGTCTTTGAAAATGGAAATCCTTACAGTTTCCATGCTGAAACAAAAGCTTACAGACCTTTTAATTATTCATATATCCTGCTGTTACATATATAGCCTGAATAATTTCCAATTACAGAGGAGAAACTGCCTTTGTTCAACATTTTGAAACTTTACATTGATGTAGTTGAATCAGGCTGGGAAAACTTAATTTGTTTAACCCAGGGAAACAATGTATTAGTAATACCTCACTATTTTTAATGATAATATAACCTCCTGACCGAGGTGTCTTAACATGTTTCCCTCTGTGTCTGACCTCCAAGGATGCAAGTCTGTTAAAGCTCTTGAGAGCTGAGGCTTTGTAGGTCCAGCTGTAGAGCTGTGTTTTTTAGCTCAGGGGCCCCAGGTCGTGTCCCAGTGTGATGCGAGGTGGTGACTGCAGCAGTGGCAAGAGCCTAGGTTGTCTCCTTGCGGACTTCACTTTCAATATACAGTTCTTTCCCTGTGCTTAGAGAGACAACAGCTATTGCCCCTGATCCTTCTCACTTTCGTTGACTGACCATGGAAGACTTTTTCTGAAAGCTGATTCCAGGCTCAAAGGTTGATCTGTGAGCTGGAGGAAGCAAAACAGGACTTACAGGTTATTTTTGCCAGGAGTCAGCCGCCTGTTCTTCCAGTTGAATTTTCTCCACCTTTTCCCTCCTTCATTATCCCATTGGGATCTACTGTAAGTAGATCTTCGTGTCCACATGGAGAGTTCATCTCCCAGAATTTCCTTCTTGGACTTTTTTAATCAGAGGAAGTGATAATCTGACCCAGTGGAAGGAGAAAGGGGAAATGGTTTATTAAAACAAATATTGTCACCTTTAAATAAAGTATGTATGAACTTTAGAAACTAAGAGAGAAAAACCATCTATCTGAGTCAAAACAGTTGCCTAAGTGCCTACTTTGTACATCATAAGAAAATTTTCAGTAGAAATATTCAAAATCCAAGAAGACTAATCAATGTAATATCTATAATAAGGTTTTCTGTGTAATCTCTCTGTTTTAGAATTTATTACTCTTTATGCAGAGGATTGGACTAGATGACAAAAGTCTTAGCTATCTACTTCTGTCATATTTATGGTTAAAAACTAACATTTAAATGAGGAAAACGTTTTCTTAAGTTCTCCTCAGTATTTTCAAGAAGTGAAAATGGAACTTAAGGGAGAAAAAATAGGCAATATAAACCTTTAAAACTCCAAGTGAACTTTCGGAGTTGTAATTGAATGCAAGCTCTGGACTTTTCTATCTATCACACTGTAAATTAAAAAAAAAAAAAAAGGAAAAAGCTAAGCAACTCTTCTTTCTCCAGCATTGCACAGTGATATGATGGATTGCTCCAAATTAATTATAGTAATCAGCTAGTGGTATGTGTTGTAGAATTGTGATTCAAGCATGAAGGAAAGAATAAGCAAATTCTGACTTGTACAGCAAATTACACATAAAAAATGTGTTGTAAGGGTAGCTCAAGTTTTACACCTTGGCCTCAACTTGTGGAAAAAATGAAAAGAAAAAAAAAAAAAAAGACTCAAGGGTGAAATATTGAAAGCTGATCAAAAATGGAGAAAATGTACCAGTCCACATATCTTTGGATGTACTGCAAAGGCATTATATGTTAATAAAAGCAGAAGAATAAAGTAAGAAAACAGTACCTAATAATAACTGATACTGTATGTTGCAAAAGGTGTTTTAAATTTCCTGGCCATTGAAAAGATGTTAAGAAATGCCCATTTCTTTGTGTTTGAATAATATCAGCTCCCTTCTGACCTGTTGTGAAAGTGATTGAGAATTTATACTAACCTTTACAGATGCCTCATGAAGTGAATAGCAAAAATCTGGTTGGACATATATAATCTTCTTTAAAAATATTTATAGAACACAGCTCTTATGAAAATTAAACATGTTCCAGGTGTGTAAGGTCCAACTTCTGGGCATAGATCAGTTGATTTTTTGAAGTTGCAGATACACCTGCCATTGCAACTTAAGAGAAATCTTTAATCTGCCTGTTGCCAAAATGAAAATGTTTGAGTTTTGTTGCCATTTTGTTTTTACCTAAAACATGGATTGGTTTATTTGTATTAGGTGTAGGAATGAGTTTGTTGCTGGTAAGGTATGGCAGCTGGCTGGGGAAAATACATTATTTCTCATCTTCCCAAGGAGCACCTCCTTCATCTTCTCTGCATGATGTGGAGGATGTAATGCTATCCTACTTGATGCCCAATATTGGAAACTTTGGATTTTTATCTTACTTTGTTTCTTGTTAATAATTTTATTTAAAATACCATTATGGAAAGAAGTATTAATGCTGGAGGCATGGAAGTACTGAATATATGTCTCCGTGAAAATATGAAGATGACCACAAAGTTCAGTGAGAGCATGGTTCTTGACTTGAAAAGGAAACATTTTCTGAGATTCCCTCCTATTTCAGTCCGCCTACTGAAAAGGACAGTGCATGATCATACTATTTTCAAGAATGTTTAGTACAATTCTACATGGCCAGTAAGATATATCAGTGTTTTCCCAGGCTGTAAAACAAGCTTTTGGAAGAGAAAGGATATAATATGTCCTCTTAGTTCTGTTGATTCAAGTTTTTTGGGGGGTCTGTGCAGTAAACTAAAACACTGAAATCATCTACATGAAAAATAGTGACACAAAAATGAGCAGGTATGGACAGAGACAAATGGCATCCTCAGAATGAGCTCTCACACATTCCGTGTGCCAATCCTAGCATTAAATCCACTCTATACTGAACTCAGCTGAACCAGTCAGGAACTTCAGAAAAGGAATTATCGTAGAATCATATCATGGCTTAGGTTGGAGGGGACATTAAAGATCATCTAGTTCAGGCCCTCCTGCCATGGGTGGGGTTGCCAGCCACTAGATCAGCCCAGGATTCTGTCCAAACTGGCCTTGAATACCTTGAGGGGTGGGGCATCCACAACCTCTCTGGGCAGCTTGTACCAGTGCCTTGCTACCTGCTGAGTAAAAAAGATCTTCCTAGAATCTAACCTAAATCTCCTGTCTTTTAGTTTAAAGCCATTCCCCTTCTGGGCTACAAGCAAATACTACTGGCTCAAGTCCAGTTTTTTGTCATCAAGAACCTCAAGTCCTTCTCTGCAAGGCTATCCTCAGCGAGTTCTCCCAGTCTGTACTTCCTATCTCAGATTGCCTCAACCCAAGTGTAACACCTTGCACATTGCCTTGGTTAAAACTCATTAGGTTCTCATGGGCACAGTTTTTGAGCCTGTAAGATTCTCTAGTAATTTCTCTTACTCACCCTCAGTCTCATATCTAACTGCATCATATTTACAATATTAAGGTAAAGATTTTAGTTCTTTTACAATAATCATACATTTGAGTTTGAATTGAAAATTATTGCCACTACTTCGAACTTGAGAATTAATGAGTTTCTTCCAGGCAGGTGAGAACAGAAGCACTGTGCCACCTGGAAGGAACGACTGCTTAATGGTTGCTTAATGAGCATGCTTCATGCCAAAATGCAGGTGATGAGTGGGTGAGAGCTTGTTTTAAAAAACTCAGTAGTACTGTTCTTTCAGATCTATGAAGTCAGTTTTTATTACTTGACAAAGATTGTGAGGTTTGGACACAGTTTATGTGTGTTACAAAAAGACTCCTGTGGTAAATAGACTGATAAAACTATTTGGTTTTCTGTTTCAGTGTTTTATTCAGAAGTGTTGACCTAGTTAGTTACATCTATGTATGGAATAACTACAAACTCTTTGAACTGCCCTGGGACTCACCGTGGACATGGTATTTGACATTTCTGGGAGTGGACTTCGCATACTACTGGTTTCACCGCATCAGTCATGGTAAGTGTGAGCTTTTTGTGTATTAAAATATCAACTGTGTTAAATATTTCTGAATAGAATGAAGTATTTATTTTTGTTTCTATCCCTAATCTACTTTGGGCATTCTTAGCCGCTTTATTCGCAAGGATTAACGAAGATTCACTGATACTTTAAGCTTGATAAACAGTTTGTAAATCATATTATTTGTCTAATAGATATGATTTCATGAAAAGAGGGAGTATATTTTTGAAAGTAGCAAAGCTAAAGTAGCATCTTACAGGAAAAGAATGAGAAGCAAATATAATTTGTGTATTATAGTATCCCATATGCCTATGTGAAAAATACAGCTTCATACAAAATTAAGTGTAAAAGAAAACAAGGTGGCCAAAACAGTGATAGGCTATCTGGATAGCTTCATCTGTTTCTATTCATTTTGAATGGAAAAAAAATATCAATAATTACATAATTGAGAAATGAATGAAAGTATTTTTGTACTCTGTGTTTAGATAGGCACACATTTTGTACATATGTATATACACACCCACATATGTTTATATTTATGTTTATATATCCTGTCTATAATTAATGCTTGACTTGCATGTTATTACTATTCTCTTTTCGAGAAGTACATTTTAAATTTTATTTTATTTTAATTTTATTTTACTTGGCCTTATACATGAATTTGAAAAGGATTCAACCTGTATTTATTGTAACAGTGGAGGCTGTATAAATCATGCCAGTTACTTCTGTTCTTGTATACAGTGAGAGCATAATAATGTCAATTTCTCTTTGTATATGTTATGTATTTTCCTTCTATGGTAACAGTGTATGTTTGGTCTATCCTTTTGTGTTCTGACTGCAAGTCCAGTAACACTTAGATCAGGCCTAAGATTAGTACTGATACAAAAGCCCGGAGTGAAGAAGTACAAGTCTTCTTATTGTTTCATATTTTGGACTGGGCCTCTCAAGGCAGAGTGCCCACAACCCATAAAAGCTGTGAAATGTTGTAATGAAAGTTTATGTAACGTGCTTTCAAAAAGTGAAAATGTTTTGATGCCAATAGGTGTGTGGAGAATGTGGAAGTGGGTGAGAAAGCATGAACTTCTGAGGGGAGTGGGAGGTAGGAAAGGTCCCTCCCAGGTGGGGAGAACAATGCAGGGTGGGTGCAGGGGGACAAACAATGGTGTGGGGGGCCAGGGCTCGCAGGGGGATGGGGCAGGAGGTGAGGAAGCGTGGGGAGCTGGAACAATGTGCCGGGGGGACATCGTGGCTGGGAGCTGGAGCCCTGCGTGGGTGTGCGCGAGACTGGGAATACGCTTCGCAAACAATGACATTAACAGTGCTGGCAGGGCTGCGGCTCCGGCTGAGGACTGGACCAGGGTGGGAGGATATTCCTGTGTTTTTAGCTAAAAAATTGTTGCCTGAAATTGTTAGAAAATTGCTATCTTGCTCCATTTTCACCAGTCAGTGGTAAAATACCCAGTGCCAGAGAAAGAAGCAGGATCAGCTCTATGCTTTCTAAAGCAGTTGCACGTTTTTCTGTTCCTACAGCAACTGTGAATTCACTTTCATCTGCTTCTCTATATTTTGAGAGGAACATTGGGACTGCGTATTTAGAAATGAATCACGCTAGCAGTTTTAGAATTAAAATCCAAGACAGCTTTCTCAGTACGTAACGATGCTATGGAAAACGTGTAAAATGTTGTTCATGTCTCAAGAAGGTCAGCACTGAGCTATCTGTAAAAGCTAAGTTAGTTTTCTGGAGGCTGCAGGAATGTTGCTTGCTGTCAAGTCTGTGTTCTCAGCAGGGAACTGATGCAGCGTTATAGAAAAATCACTCTAAATGTGGATTTTAGCATAAACAACAGTCTTCCTCTGGTTGAGCAGCGATAATATCTGGAACAAGGCAACACAGCTGCAAAAAGTAGATAGATTCGAAAGTTGGAAAGGAAAATTTGAATGTAGGATATGCTTTTAAAATGTAGATTCTTGAAAAATATCTCCGCGTTTGGAGATGTGGAGATGCTGGATCAGTCTCTGCTATAAGTGGACAAACACACCCTTGTGCTAGAAAGTGACAGGGCCTGATGATTCAGGCTTGGATTCTAGAGCAAAGTTACAAATTAGTAGCACATGTATATATCCCAGGAAATTCAAGCTGTGTGGACTTTGTCTAGGGATGTAAATAACGGCACTAATTGTTTCAAAATGAAGAACTAAAGTTCAGATAAATTTTGTCGTTATCACATAGCTTTTCCTGTCTCCAAGCAATTTTTTGATAAGACAGACTCGCAGCTACTTACTACCTTATTTTCACATTGTCCTTCCAATAATTGGATTATTCAGTCTGCTATTTAAATAAAAGAGCTGAATCCTTTCAGATTTCAGAGTTTCCTCTGGAGCAGAAACTCTAATGTGGAATATCAAGTTTTTACCTAGTACTTGAGAAGCTATTTTTTCCTCTTCACTATATGTGTGTAATAGCTATTATCATAAACTGAAGTTATACAGAAACAAGAGGAAGTATTTTTAGGTGTGACCTCATTTTTTTGTAGGATAAAGTTATTCTAAGTATGTGCTAGTGTTTTCCATTGTTTGCAGTAGCTGCTGAAAAGTTAGAAAATAAAATGTTTCACCACTTATTCCAGCTTTCTTCTGGGCCTGATCCAAAAGCCATGGCAGTCAATGGGAGAATTTAGTTAGCCACTGTTTTTTTCTCTTGGTGTTTTAATGAACTTATAAGCCGCTGTAATTTTTTCCATTGTTTCAGTAGAAACAATCAGTATGGCCATACTACTAAAGAAAATAAGCTGTAAAATAACAGTTTTTTGTGTTTTTTTTTTTTTGTTTGTTTGGATGGGGGGAAGGATATGCGTGAGTTAGGGGATTTTTAGCAGACATTTTAATCTAGCATATATGGATTACTCCTCAAGCTTCCTCTCCAGGTGCAGAGTCCTTTGCAGAGTTATTCCTGCTGGAAAATGGGATTTGCTGGTCCCAAGGCAGCGCAGAGCTCTGGCTGTGGTGGAGCACGCTCCTCCCTGAGCTCTGGCTTCACTGATATGTCTGTGGCAGATATATGATAGCGGCAGTAAGGAATTTAGAGACCCCGTAAACTAATTTCTTCAGCAGCCACACCTTTTAATTAGGGAAGGGAATCTAGAGACTTCCAGGTCCATGCAAAAACAAGGAGCTGTCTCTCAGAGACAGGTTGGTGATGAGCAGTGGGTTTTGAGGACGGTTTGGGGTCTCTCCTCTCTGCTTTCAGGCCCTGGGAGACTGGTTTGGCAGTCGGTAGGTTACGAGAGCCTGTCTCTTTCTAACAGCAGCTTCCAACACCTTTTCTTTTGTTCTCCTTTACTGCTGGGGAATTTCCATTGCTTCAGTGTCCCTCCCCTCAGACAACCTGGGAGAAGCAAGTTTCCTTTGGCTGGGCCAACCTTGGCGGCTGCATTGTTCTGCCAGGCTCGAGGCGGCCGTGTCAGCTGCAGAAGGGATACGTGACAGGGTCCCTGTCAGCAGCAACCTGAGCCAATATCAGCCCATGCTTTGAGTTACGTGTGGTGCACATGAAACAGGCATCAGCTGATAAGTATATTCTAGCTGGATTCTCCAGCTGCTATGTAAACTTTTGAGTTAATGGAGTGTCTCTTAATAATTCTCTATTTATGGTGGATAAGAAATAAATCAGGCATATTCTGAAGCAACAGTCCCTGAACTCTTCATATTTCCCCACTCCATAGGACCAAGTGTTTGGCTGAAACAACTTCTGAGGAGTCAGAAGGCAAAGAAGAAACCCCAAGAAGTCGTTTTGGCTTTGCCCTCAAAAGGTCATGCCTCCAATCTGTGGCAGAATGTTTCAGCTGAGTGTGCTGAGGAGGACTTCTAAGATTTCCAATAATTAGAACTTTTAACTTTCTAAAATTCTAAAATAGGGTCTCTCTTAGCCCTATTTACCTGTAATGTAGCTTCTGCCCCTTTTCCCAATAAGCATCTTTAGTTACAATTTCATAGAACAATTCAGCAATTCCTAGCTGTTCTTCCTTACATCACCCACTGAATTCTGAAAAACCTGCTGTGTGGTGACTACGTACATGAAATCATTGAAATTGTATCTAGAAAGAGGATTCTCTTGGATTTCCTAAGAGAGAAAGCTAACCCTTTTCAGTCGTCATGGGGTCAATTTAGCAATGGTACAGGAATTGCCCACTAATCAAGGACTGAGACAGTGTAAGCCATGTTTACTGCACAGAATCTGTGCAGTATCTGGAGATTTTAGAGAGAACAGAAAAGGCTTTTTTTGAGTCAGTAGTGCACAGGTGGATAAGTCATCCTTATAAACCATATATGGATAAATGGGGACAGACAATGTCTCATGATTCATGCTGTTAAAAATATAAGGATATGCAAGACTAAAAACCACTCCAAATATTTTTGTTAATCATACATGTATGCAGTTAATAATGCTAATATGTTAGCATGTTGGATGCTAGCACAATGCTATATTTACTGTTCAATGAGAAGATGAGTTTGAACTTCCAAGCTTGTTAAAGAAGGAGACAGTAGAGCCTAAATTTTTTTTCAGCATTGATATTCACCACTCATTTTTGGAGAGTGTATTGGAATCATATGATCATGCCATCTTTATTTATCTGACCCATTCCTCCCTTTGAAGTGCTCCTTTCATCTGCATTTTATAATGTGCTTGTCTGAAGTCAGTATATCAAAATGGACTTGTTAAGCAGATTTTATATTAAGAATTGATAGTATATTGAAATAATTTTGGGTTTAAGGGATTTAAGTTTTACTATAATGAATTTCCCTTGAAATGATGTCTGACTTTTGTTATTGGGAACATGGTCAGGAACACAAGGTTTTCTTTTCAGAAAAACCTTCATTTCCCTTGGAAAAGCAGTAAATGAAAATATTCTCTTACATGCCAGAGGCTCCATTTGGGGTGCAAAGGAATGGTTGGGTGGTGAGTATTTTTTTTAGTTTGTTTTGTTTTGTTTGTAAGCTTA